AATGTCTCCAATTCCCCTTCTCCCCCTGTGTCAGCCGAGGGTCTGGGCAGTGTGTGTGTGTGTGTGTGTGTGTGTGTGTGTGTGTTACACCCGAGTCTTCAACTGCTGGGACATAAGGCCCCATCGCAGTGGGCAGTCTAGGAGAGACTGACAGGTGCCCTGAGGAGTTTAACGTCCGTGTCTTAGTCCGCTAGGATCGGGATCCATTCGCGGAGGGCAGCCAACAGGCTGATAGACACCCTAGAGTTTATAGGAAGAGCTTATTACATCTCAGATTTTAACTACTAGGATACAGGATCCCTTCGCAGCGGGCAGCCTAGGGAAGACTGAGAGATGCCCCTACAGATCTGTCCTCTGGAAGCGACATGATCCAAATTCCCCAGCTCTTCCTATATCTGTCCCTTATGACTGGCTGAAGTTCTTTTAAATTGTGCTTGGTTCTATTACAGCAACTGAGGGAGTCAGGCTACAGCTTTAACAGTTACGGGTTTATTAAAGAAGCTTATAAACCATATGGTTACAATGGCTATTGCTCTATTTCTTAACTGCTAGCAAATACAGTTCTTATGGTTACACAGGAAGAAGGAAGATAGAAAATAGAAATAATGGTACCAAGTGACAGCTTAATCTTTAAAGAGCTCTATTCTATGCATGCACTAAAACAAAAGGACACATTCGGGTACAATTTTTTCCCCCTTCTGCATCACTCGGTCCCAGTGTGTCAGGCCAGGATCGGTCCCTCAATTCCTCGGAAACACGAAATACGAGGTGGGCGTCCCCGTGGACCTCGGGAGGTCAATCACCTAACCCGACCAGCAGATAGATGGTAGATTGATGCTCAAAGTGAGTGTGCTGCTGGACCCATCTTTATACCCATGGGGTCACGTATTTCTCTTTCTTATCTGTGATGCCAAATGGTGCTGGTCCATCTTTGTGACACCAGTTCTTACAAGGGAGTTGTGAACTAAATTTGCACTTGTAAGACTTACTTACTTACTTACTGCCCGTTACGCCAATGGCGCATAGGGCAGCAACAAAGTCCTTCCACTTCTGTCGGTCACAGGCCAAAGCGCCTATTGTTCCCCAAGTGTGATGATGGTCTTTTAATTCTTGTTCTACCGTTTGGCGCCAGGTTGTTTTTGGTCTTCCTCTCTTTCTCTTCCCATCTGGTTTCCAGTGGAGTGCAATTTTCGTAATAGATCCGTCTTCTCTTCGTAACACATGACCTATCCATCGCCAGTGTCTTTTCATAATTATAGTGGCCATGTCTTCTTGTTTACACTGAGACAGTAGGTCTTCGTTGGAAATTTTATTTGGCCAAAATATCCTGATTATTCTTCTAAGATTCTTGGTATGGAATGTAGACAATTTAGTAAGGTCTCGTTGTATCATGCGCCAACATTGTGCTCCATAGAGAAGCACTGGAAGAACACAGCTGCTGTATAGTTTCATATTGGTGCACACGCTATACTTTGAGGATTTCCAGATGTTATTCATACTGATAAAGGCATTTAATAGGAGGTGGGCGTCCCTGTGGACCTCGGGAGGCCAAACACCTAACCCGACCAGCCGGTAAATGGTAAATTGACACTCAGAGTGAGCGTGCTGCTGGGCCCATCTTTATACCCATGGGGTCACATATTTCTCTTTCTTTTCTGTGATGCCAAATGGTGCTGGTCTGTCTTGTGTGACACCAGATCTTACAAGGGAGCTGTGAACTTAATTTACACTTGTAAGGGAGATAACTAAATTGGAAGTACTGGAGATTCTTTTCTCAGTGGGAGATCGCTCTCCCGGGGACGGCTGTGTGATTGTATCAACCTGGGTGTCAGCCAGGGAAGTTCTTGCAGCCTCGAGGTCAGTTTATTGCCTTAATTGTTCTTTCTCATATCTATGTTTTCAGCTTACCCAGGGTCAGATGAGCCGGCATATCCTGGCCTCACATTGAGGCTTCAAAGGCTATGCTGATTTTATTGCTTCTCTCTGCCCTGCATTCTCCAGGCACCTCAGAGGGGCAAACGATGGATGTGACGGGGGGGGGCCTGTCTGGCTACATTCCACCCCCTGATATGACACACCAGTCCCGGGAATGCAAGACGGTGGTGTGCCAGCACCTCTTGCCCACCTTGCAGGAATCTAAAAGTACCCGATGGCCTGATTAGAGGGCTTGGGGTCGAGGAATTGGCTGGGGTCTTTTCCCAGTGCTGTCTATCCAAATGTGCGCAGAGGAAATGGCTGCATTAACCAAGCATCTTACAACACACAATATTATACAAAAGGCAATTACTACAATCAAAATAATCCAAACAGTGGTTATGATAGAATGTAGGAAAGGAGTTAAGGAGAGTCCCAGTTGTTGGGCTAATCAACTTAGCCATGAGATTTCTCCATTTTTACCTACAGCATGTAACACTTTAACTGCATCTTTTATGGCAGACACATCCTGTTCAATCTGCCCTGAATGATTTACATAGCAACAGCAAGACTGATTAATTACAGCACAAACTCCTCCTTGTTGAGCCAAAATTGCATCTAATGCTATCCTGTTTTGCAGGGCAAAGCAGGCCAATGATTGGATCGGCTCGTTGAGCAGGCCTAGGGCATCTGCAATGTGGTTGAAAGCTATTTCTAGTTGCCCTAACACATTTACTATGGCTTGTTCAAGTTCAGCTACACTAAGGCAGAAATGCACGGGCAAATCGATGAAAACCTGTGGGGCGTCTCACAAAAGGGTAAATAGTAAATTTCCTCTTGGATGGATGCAGGAAGCTTCCAAGGTTTGTAAAACCTGGAGCTGTAATGTGTGGGTATACCGTTAATCCACCAGGCACAGCATGTCCTAGGGAACACCGTCCTGTCCAACCCACTGGCAGGTATTTCTAAGCCTTTACCCCACAGATGAAAAATAGACCAGGTTCTTTGTTAAGGATAGGGGAATATGGTCCCTTATACCACCCCCTTCCCATGGGCCTTTCTTTAGGGGCATGGCACAATAGCTGTTATTAATGATGAAGCACTGGAGAGCAAACAACAGATCCTGTAGGATCTGATCGGGTCGAAAAAGGTCTGCCCTAGCACATTGGCCATGTAACAGGCTATTGTTATATACCAGTGTGGGGTTGTAGATGTGTCTGGTGCTGGGAACTATAAAGAGGGAATTATTGTACCAGGCACTGCTGTCTGGGTACTGACTAAACTTTAAGGAGACAATAGAGGCATTACTAATGCCAAACAAAGGTCAGTGACCAAGGGAGACATTGATAATATTCCCCCAGCAATGTAATGTCTCCTGGTGGGTATAATTATTTTGGTGTGAGTAAATTTTGGTGTGGAAAGGATTAAAGCCCTTTTTGAAATGTCTCCGATACTCCTTCTCCCCGACAGGCTGCAGAACACCAATGTCTGACTCCAGCTCAGGCCCTGGCCTGCAGAGGCGGGGACAGGAAATGGCCGTGGCAGAGCCGGTGAGCTTCAAGGAGGTGGCTGTGTATTTCTCTGAGGAGGAATGGGCTCTGCTGGACCCGGGCCAGAGAGCCCTCCACAGGGATGTGATGCGGGAGAATTACGAGGCTGTGAGCTGGCTGGGTGAGGATTCCTGTCCTCTTGTGTAAAAGAAGCTGGGTGGGTTCTGGAGCAGCTGGGTTGGGTTTGGTTCAGGGTCCCTCATTGCCCAAACCCCCAATATCAGCAGTATCTGCCCCAGTAATCCTGGTTCCTGTGTGAGAGGTGCTTCAGTGACATAATAGCAGTGCTGCTCTTCCCACAGCCAAGGTCTCATTGTGGTTCCAGCCATCTAGCCCATGTTGTGCCTTCGCCGGAGTTTCAGTGGAAGGGCCCAGGCAGGAACGGCAGGGACCAGAGTTGTGGGGCTGGTTGCAGCTGCTCTTAGTGTCTGCAGGGTCCTCTTGTGGTATTGTTCTGAGCCCCTGGAAGGAAGGCGCCAACTCAGAGTCCTTCATGCCTCTGGCAGATTCTGTGCAAGCCAGAGAGGCACCAAATGGCAGGCCTGATTGGCCACAAGAGGAGGGCTGCTGTTGCTGTCAGAGCAGAACCAAGGCTGCGGAAGGGGAGCTGAGCTGCAGGAGCATCTACAAGCAGCAGAGAAGCAGCTCATCCTGCCTCCACCTTGGCTGGCCACAGGAAAAGGCCGGCACAGCCCTGGCGGTCTTCAGGACTGACAGTTGTTGTGGGAAGCTGACAGGGCCCTCCATGGCACAGTCAGTCATGATCAGGAGTGTGGACCATAGTCAGGACCTGAAGTGGCCAGCCAACGTTTCATTTTCCTGATCAGACAATTCCCCTGCCTCCTTCTGGCTCAAGTGGAGCATCTGAGCCCAAGAGCATGGAAAGTCCAGCCCCCAGCCAAGAGCTTTGTGGACAGAGCCCATAGGGCTCTAGAGCTCTGCTGGATCCTTTCCCTCCCAGCCCTAGAGACCTGACATGTGTCAGCTCAAATATGAGTCCTGGCTAGAGGCGTCTGTCAGTTCTGAAAGTCTTAGAGCTCTCCCCTTATGAGCAGTGTGTTCCTGTCCTTTCAAATATGAGTCTTGGCTAGAGGCGTCTGTCAGTTCTGAAAGTCTTAGAGCTCTCTCCTTATGAGCAGTGTGTTCCTGTCCTGCCTAAGTATGCAACAGGCCCTAAGGGACACTGAGTTGTATCCTGTAGAGTGCAGCAGAGTGCTCAGTTCCCCATGGGAGTCAGCTGGGCTATTCCCAACATGGTAGTGATGCAGGGGGAGGATGGAATTAGTGTGTCCTGGGATCTTGTAGCAGCCAGAGACCAGTCTCTGGAAGGTGGGGAAGGAGCCTCTCTGGGTAGGAGACTCAGATCCTGGCTTTGAAGCAAATGAACAAAATCAGCACTTGATTAATTGCTCCCCGAATAGGATTTCCAGTCTTCAAAGCTCATGTGCTCTCCTGGGCGGAGCGAAGGGAAGAGCTGCAGATCCCGGATCTTCAAGGCTGTGAGGAAGGGGAGGAAGGGGAGAAATCAGCTAAACTGACTCAAACCAATTTCTGTGTTTGCAGCAGATGTTGGTTGTGTGTTTTCATCAAGTCTGACTGGCCCTTCAGCCTGTCTTCAATTCTAGTCTGAGAAAACTGGGTGGGGAATGAGTTATGGGGGTGCAGAGTGAACTCAGCTCATGATTATTGTGTCTTTCCAGCCATTCTTTGGGTTTGTCCCCCATTTTCTATTCACTATTCACAATTTTATTTCAGCAGAGCATAGGGAATGACTCCTGTGTGGTTTCTCTCTCTATCCCAGCAGGTGATGGGATGCTGAATGAGAACAGTGAGAGGAGACTTCAGGAGGAAGGACCTGAGCAAATGACTCCATGTGGGGTGTTAGTGGGAAGGTCTGAAGGGCATGTTTCTCAGAATCCTGAGGAAGGAGAGACTTTTGAGAGTCAGCGTAGTCTACAAAGGCAGCAGGGAAACCATCCACGAGCACGACAGTTCTAGTCTGAGAAAACTGGGTGGGGAATGAGTTATGGGGGTGCAGAGTGAACTCAGCTCATGATTATTGTGTCTTTCCAGCCATTCTTTGGGTTTGTCCCCCATTTTCTATTCACTATTCACAATTTTATTTCAGCAGAGCATAGGGAATGACTCCTGTGTGGTTTCTCTCTCTATCCCAGCAGGTGATGGGATGCTGAATGAGAACAGTGAGAGGAGACTTCAGGAGGAAGGACCTGAGCAAATGACTCCATGTGGGGTGTTAGTGGGAAGGTCTGAAGGGAATGTTTCTCAGAATCCTGAGGAAGGAGAGACTTTTGAGAGTCAGCGTAGTCTACAAAGGCAGCAGGGAAACCATCCACGAGCACGACAGGATAAATCCAGTCACAGGAGCAGAAGGTTGAAAACAAACAAACAAACTGTTCAAAAGAAAATACCCCATCAACATTCACCTTGTCCTTGCAGTGACTGTGCAACTCTTATTAAACATGAAAGAGCCCAAACAGGAGAGAAACCCTTCAGCTGCTCTGACTGTGGGAAAAGCTTCCGTCAGAGGTCACGCCTTGTTATCCATAGGAGAGTTCACACGGGAGAGAAACCCTTCAGCTGCTCTGACTGTGGGAAAAGATTAAATCACCAGTCAGAGCTTGTTAGACATAGAAGAGTTCACACAGGGGAGAAACCCTTCAGCTGCTCTGAATGTGGGAAAAGCTTCAGTCGGAGGTCACACCTTGTTATCCATAGGAGAGTTCACACGGGAGAGAAACCCTTCAGCTGCTCTGACTGTGGAAAAAGCTTCAGTCACAAGTCACAGCTTGTTATCCATAAGAGAGATCACACAGGGGAGAAACTCTTCAGCTGCTCCGATTGTGGGAAAAGCTTCAGTCTCAAGTCACACCTTGTTAGACATAGGAGAGTCCACACAGGAGAGAAACCCTTCAGCTGCTCTGACTGTGGGAAAAGATTAAATCACCAGTCAGAGCTTGTTAGACATAGAAGAGTTCACACAGGGGAGAAACCCTTCAGCTGCTCTGAATGTGGGAAAAGCTTCAGTCGGAGGTCACACCTTGTTATCCATAGGAGAGTTCACACGGGAGAGAAACCCTTCAGCTGCTCTGACTGTGGAAAAAGCTTCAGTCACAAGTCACAGCTTGTTATCCATAAGAGAGATCACACAGGGGAGAAACTCTTCAGCTGCTCCGATTGTGGGAAAAGCTTCAGTCTCAAGTCACACCTTGTTAGACATACAATTGTGCCCCTCCTCCTTGTAACACCCTTTTAGATGCTTGAAAAGCGCTGTCATGTCCCCTCTCGGTCTTCTCCTTTCCAAACTAAACCAGCCCAATTCTTTCAGTCTTCCTTCAGAGCTCATAGAATAGTGATAGAAATGTAGCCGTGTTAGTCTGGGGTAGCTGAAGCAAAATACAGGACTATGTAGCACTTTAAAGACTAACAAGATGGTTTATTAGATAATGAGCTTTTCTGGGCCAGACCCACTTCCTCAGATCAAATAGTGGAAGAAAATAGTCACAACCATATATACCAAAGGATACAATTTTAAAAAAATGAACACATATGAAAAGGACAAATCACATTTCAGAACAGGTCTGTGAGCTAATGGTATTAGAGGTGATAATTGGGGAAGCTATCTTTGTTGAGACCGACACATAGAGTGTCGAATTTTAGCATGAATGACAGTTCAGAGGTTTCCCTTTCGAGTGCAGATTTAAAATGCTTTTGGAGGAGGATGCAGGTAGTTAAGTCGTTGAGACAGTGTCCTTTCTAATTGAAAGGGCAAGAAACTATTTTTTCTTTGTGATCCTGTCTAATATCTGTTTTGTGGGCATTGATCCTTTGGGGAAGTGTCTGAGACGTTTGTCATTGTACATTTTAAATCTGCACTTGAAAGGGAATCCTCTGAACTGTCATTCATGCTAAAATTTGACACTCTGTGTCGGTCTCAACAAAGATAGCTTCCCCAATTATCACCTCTAATACCATTAGCTCACAGACATTTACCTTCCCCCACTACCCTCCCCGCCCTCCTGCATCCCCCTTCTATTTTGTTTGGTCACTGCTTGTTATCCATAGGAGAAGTCACACAGGAGAGAAACCCTTCAGTTGCTCTGACTGTGGGAAAAGATTCAGTGACAGGTCACAGCTTGTTAGGCATAGGGGATTTCACACAGGTATTAAACCCTTCAGCTGCTCTGGTTGTGGGAAAAGCTTTAGTCAGACCTCAACCCTTGTTAGACATAGGAAAACCCATACAGAAGAATCTGTTCAGCTGCTTTCACTGAAGGAAATGCTGCAGTCAGAGGTCACACCTTGTTGTCCATGAGAACTCTCACAGGAGAGAAATCCTTTAACTGCTCTGACTTTGGGAAATGCTATAGTGAGAGTTCAAGCCTTGTTGCATATAGTTGAATCCACATCAGTGAAAAACCTTATAGTGGTGGTGAGCAAAATTTTTCTCTGTTGACAGAATCCAGCCTGCCTAAGGCTTTGATCCTGTCCACAAGTCAGTGCCAGGCCCCACCTCCAAATGAAGATGTACTGAGGGGGAAGGAGTTTAGCCCCACCCACTCTTCATGCTTTGTAACCACTAGAGAGGAGGCAGTGCTAGGCTGAGTCTTTGCTACACAACCTGAGGCTGGCACTAGAGGCACTGCTGCCACTGCACTGCTGGCCTCCAGGGCCACATGGCCATGTCAGGGGTGCCTCTGGGGCTGGTCCTGGGCCGCATGGCTGCAACAGCTACACCTCTAGCCCTGGAGTGAATGGGTGCAGTAGTGCTGCCTCTGGTGTCTGGGGCTGGTCCTAGTCTGTGTGGCTGCTGCTGCAGCAGTAGAGCCTCCCTCCGGGGTGTCCAGGACAGTGTGACTGGAGATGTTGCTGCAAGGGGGCCCAAAGCCAGGTAATATTTGCTGTCCTTCCCAGACACTCCCTCCCAATCACCTCAATTCCCTTTCCCCCAGCAGCCAGCACCCCCAACTTGCACTGACACCCTCCTTTTTTCTTGCACCCTCTCTCCTGGCCACACACTGCACCTTCCCCCAGGCCAGAATCCTGCCTGTTTCTGCATCCCAGACCCTTCTTCAAGACCCCAACCCTTTCTTGAGGCCCCTGTCACGTTATTGGATTTTAAGGTGAGCATAATCACCTTAAGATCATTTCTGTGCTCATGGGAAACTGTTTGCCCCAAATTTGGTACAGAGTGAGCCATGCGAGGTGTCAAATGCAAGCTGATATTTTGCTGATTCTATGTGTGGTATTCATGCACTTGTTTGGAGTTTGTTTGGGGAGTTATGACTATGGGCTCTGCTGATGCTGTGTATGGACTGCCTGTCATGAGGAAGGAATGTCCAATGAGAGACTATGCTAATCAGTATGGCTCCAAGGACAATGGTTCTCAGGTTGGCCAATACACACCTGAGGAATGCGTGTGGAAAGGTGCAAAGCATCCAGGGCACAATGGCTGCTGGCATATGAAACAGGTCACTTGACCATGTAACTAGGTCCAGCTTGGGAGACACCACTAATGAATATCAAATGCCAGGAGGGGGCTCCCTCTTGTCTTCAGTCTTGCTACTTATCCCATGCTGGCATATGAAACAGGTCACTTGACCATGTGACTAGCTCTAGCTTGGGAGACACCAGAAATGAATATCAAATGCCATGAGGGGGGCTCCATCTTGTCTTCAGTCTTGCTACTTATCCCGGATGCAGCTTTGCTAAGGACAGAGACAGGGGAAGGATTGATGACCCATCCTGACATACGATGTACCCCAAAGACTTATGCTAGCAGTTTGTAACATCTCTGCTAAGATCCTGCATCAAGAACTTGCTGATTGATGTATACAATGTATTCTCCTTAACAGCCTTACTCTCAACCTTTTCTTTCTTTTATTAATAAACCTTTAGATTCTAAAGGATTGGTCCACTGTGATCTTGTGGGTAAGATCTAAAGTATAAATTGACCAGGGATTCATGGCTGGTTCTTTGGAACTGGGTGGATCTGTTCTGGGTTGGAGAGATTGGGCTGTATAACCCCTCACCTGTGTGTAAGCCCAGGGCTGATTGTGGCATAGGAAGAGCTGGAGTATCTGAGGGGTTTTGCTCATGAGGCTTCCTGCAGGCTGGATTGGCAGCTGAAGTGCTCAGTGTGACTGGTTTGTTGCCTATTTTGGAAAGGTCTCCAGTCAAGGGCTTTCAGCAGTCCTGGTTTTGAGCAATTTGCCCTTAGTGGATTCCCTCAGTGGTGCTCAGTCCTGGCCCTCCCAGCTAATCACAGCCCTGCCCTCTGCAAACCTTCTGTAGAGTACTGTTGCTAATGGAAACTCACTGTTAATTACATAATTAGTCAAGCCATTTTGATAGGGCTGCATCTGGGCAGTTGCATTTAAATTATTAGAGATTAAACCTTTTAACTTTCTCATGTTAGTTGATCAAACTTTATTTTAAATCAAGTAAAATATTTCTGTCCAATACATACTGTGGAGGTAGGCCTCACTAGCCTGGCCAAAGACTGAACCATACGCAGTGCATCCTGCGTCAGAAGCGAGCTTCCTAAGCAAGTTGAGGAAGAAACCACAATGCTGTTAAACAAACAAACAAAAAAATCGCACTGCTTGCAATTTGTTATTGGGTCAAGCAGAGATTACCATTTAAGGATGAAGTGCCTTACTTCCTCTTTTCTCTGTAAATTTCCACTGTGACTTTGTAAGAAGGTATAAATATCTCAGGCATTTGAGTGTGAGGAAGGGGCTTGTATTGGTAAGGTGTGACTCCTTGCTATCTGTGACAAAAAACCCCTGCCCCCAGCTGGGTTATTAATTTGGTTTTGTCTGTCTTGAACCGTAAAGCTAGCATGTGTTTATTCCACGACAACTGGGAGCAGCTTAAGCCAAGAACCCTGTTCTACTGTGTCAGCAATATCTGAGGTGGCATAAAATCCCCTATCCAGTTTCTAACCCTGAAATATCATCATCTTTATGATGTCATTCCCGGCCCCTTGATACAGCCTTTGAACTCAACAGCAGAGCTATGTCTACCCTGGCGGGTTCTTGTGCAAGAATGGCTGTTGTTGTGCAAGAATCCGCAGAGCATCCACACTGCCGGCCTGCTCTTGCGCAAGAAGATTTACAGTACGGCGTGGTAAGAGAGGGCTTCTTGTGCAAGAGCTATGCTCTTTTTTTAACAGGTGTAAGCCCTCTTGCACAGGGTCTCTTGCACAAGAGGGCAGTGTGGATGCTCGGCAGGGGTTTCTTGTGCAAGAGAGCCCTATGGCTAAAATAGCCATTGGAAAGTTCTTGCACAAGAGAGCATCCACACCGCCATGGATGCTCTTGCACAAAAGCACAGCTCACACATGGCAGTGTGGACGTGTTCTTGCGCAAAACTTCTTGCACAAGATCCCAAAAGTGTAGACATAGCCCAGATGTTTGCTTACCAGAGATGCCACAATAGACTAAGCCATCTCAAAAAAGGCTTCTGCCAAAGCCAGGGATTGAACCAGGGCCCTTCAAACCTTCAGTCTAACACTTTCTCAACTGAACTACTTTGGCAACTGTCTGCAGCTTTCTAAGGCTGACACTTCTCTCAGGCATGTTTTTTTCCGTGGCATTATACAAGAGAGATGCTGCTCCCTGTGGCCCTGCAAGGCAAGATGAGTTTTGCCTGCCCCCCTCAGCCTGACTTGCACTTGGCCCCATTCCTGCCGCTTTTCTCAGGGTGTCCCAGTGGCTGAAAGAACTGCGGCTGCCAGTGGGCGGAGTGAGTTTCATAATGTGCACCACTAGTGAGGTCGTTTGCGCTTGTGCAGATGTGTGCTACTGTGGTACCTGCCAGTTACTCACAAAGAGCTTAGCTAAATATAGTTTTATAATTTGATAGAAGAAAAAATACTGAAACAAAGGATAGTTAACAAGGTACGTGACTTCGTGTATTTAGCATGAAATCAAATGAAAAGAACATTAACACTGCAACACATTCCATAGCTATTAGGTATCTTACAGGGATTGTTCCTTTGAGGCATAAAACAAAATTGTCCATCTTCTTGAGTTAGCAAACAAGCAATGATGATTCATATTGCTACATGAAATGAAATAGTTGTTACACTTTATGATGGAAATTAAATATTCTGTTATTTAATGGGCTCAGTTCCTACATTTGCTCCCTAGTTCAGACTAGGGATGCAAATCTAGGCGACCGAAATTGCTAATGAAGCAATTTAAATAATTTAAATATCCCACGCTTCATTAGCAAGATCTCGCCCTGCTTGCTAGTCCAAATCACAGCTGATTTGA